GCTTGGTTAATAAGAGATTTATTATACGACTGAAGTTCAAAGGGACACAAGTGCGGTATCATCCGGGACCATTAGGGACAGTGCCCGGTCCAATACTGAGAGAACATTGACCGGCAATAGAGCATTTTGATTGGTTGATTTAGTTATTGGACCTCTGACTGCCCCGAGTCGTGTAATAAAGAAACTTATCCCCTTTATTCATTGAAATCTAGCCTCAGAATTAAGCAACTTACAAGACAAATCTTCAATCACCTTTCCTTTGCCTATCAATTGCAAAAAATTTTGGATTTATAGGTATAACTTGCATGAGTGACAAAGACAGAATTTCTCCTTACAAAATCAATACAATGTCAAGCAAACTAGTGATGAGAGTAAAGAAAAATATCAATTGGAGATTATCAATTGATCCAATAGCAAAATATGAATGAATGAATGAATTCCTTATTTATATTGCGCCCTTTCTATACAATATTCAAAGGCGCAGTACTCCCCTTCAATTTGATAGACACTACACAAAGATAGACCACAACACCGGGCACTATGTACCCTACTCTTTTCTAACAGTGTGTGGGTTCTTTAACGTCCCACAAATTTTTTTTCACATACAAGGGCTTGTGAGACGGGACCTCCATTTATCATCCCTATCCGAGAAGACTAGAAAGTCTAACCATTTGCAGATATTATTACAAAGGTAGCACTATCTTCTCAGTTATTTAAGACCCTGAGTGTTGGTCCGGCCAGATTTCAACTCACGACCTCCCGCACAATAGTCCGACGCTCTTATTATAAGATGTGTATGGCAGACAAGAAGAAGGAGATTTACAAAAACAACATTAGGAGTAAAAGGGTTCTGAATTTGCCAAGTTGAATGTAAACATCTGAAATCTTTATGAAGTCATTTCAGTCAAACAAAATTTAATCTCTTATTCTCTTTATTAGACTGGAAAATTACCGTGAACAGTGGAAGGAGTTGTTGATTTCTTCCTGGTTGATCCTGGTTTCATTCAGAAATCAGCAATGTCAAGTAACATACAACTTGATGCTAGAAGGCAATCAATCAAAATCATACATCTTTTCTCAAATTAATAAAGAATGATACTTAATAAATGATAAAAAGTAATGCTAATTGCATCCTATCCTTAAAAATAATTGAAATAATTTCAATAATGAAGGTATGTTTATCATATGTAGAAGTTTGCTAACAGACTATTTTTGCCCCCAGATGGATCAAAATATTTCAAAACAAAGCTAGAAAATTCTAGCACAATCAAATTGTAATGTAGCAGGTTTATTCATGTGTGTTATATAATCCTATTGATCAAACTTGTAGCACCTGGATGTGCATTGAAGCATAGCCAAGAGAATTTTATTTAAAACAACATTAAATTTACTGCCTTGGAAAAGTCTTAGAACAATGGGTTCAATTGTCAGACCACATATGCTTTAAATGAGTTTTTCAAATGATTTTGAAAATAAATAAAAACAAAGGCTGTGTAATAGTGTCACTTGTAATCCATGAAGTGTTAATTTGCAACTGATTTGAGCTGTTACATATCCTGAATTATAATCCATCAAATATTAGTCTAAATGTGTCATATGGCTGAGTTTACCCCAGTTTTTACTGGGGAATATCAGTGATATACCCCAAGTGATATTCCCCCATTTGCAAAGCTAATATCCACTACATACCGAGTCTTTGTTTAAGATTTAATTTAATGCAAGAGAGTGGTGAGCTTTTGTTACAGAAAAAGGGACATGTTAGTTTGTTTATAAAGTCATACCTGAGGACACTGAAAAGTTAACAACACACCCAACAAACTGTGTGCTGTTTGCTAACATTTCCTCTTTTGCTTTTCAAAAACATTTGATGGAAAATAAACACAGTATCATCCATTGGCTGCAAAATTATGTTTTGACCTTGAACTTAATCAGCTCCACATAGCTCACAGTTTTCCCCAAGCTTTGTTGTACAAAAACTGTTCACATCTTAGAACAGCTTAAGTCAGATAACTATCTGCACATATTTTTGTGCCAAGTGGAGGCTATTGTTTAAATAAAGGATTTATGGGCTCTGATTGGTTTCCTGTGCAGTCTCGGTGTGAGTAGATACACTAATAACAATACACTGCATTAATTTATTTCCATGCAAGACTGCATCAACCAGGCACATGACATACCATGGTTATAACTTCATTGATAAGCACATCCACAATATTATGATGTTCTATAAATTGACTTGTCTGTTGTCCAAGAACACAAGACTTGGTGTACTGAATTCCAAGATCTTTGACAATTAAAACAGATTCTACAAAAAGAATGGAGTGGTGTAAATATTGCAGATCATTGACCAAATGTGAGATCTAGTCAAACAAGTGTTGGTTGAGTTGTTTTGTTTTTGCAAAAAACAAAAATTGAATAAGGCCAGTCTTTAGGGATCCATGTGTCCAAAAGTAAAAAAAAATTAAATTGGCAGGTCTGTTGGAATGAGGTCTGTGGTGATTGAGCCCAAGGGGCTAGGGCAGTAGTTATTGTGGTGCTGTTAGATCCATTCTTATCTCACCTTTATGAATATCCAAGCAATATAATTTCAAAAGAACAATGGCAATCACGACAAGAGTCCAAACTGCTATGCTGGTTAATGACAGAAGTTCCTATGACTATTGAAAGAATAAATGATGGTGAATGAATGATAAAAACATATGTTGGGGAATTGGGTCCCTAAATGGGACAGGAGAGAAGTGGAAACACATATTTAAGCCTTTCATAAATTTCAATCTGAAGAATTTTTTTTTTTTTGACCTTTCAGTTGTGTGGGATGACAATTAAGCAGTGCTCTCCGGGGATCTACAAGTGGCCAGCCAGCAGGATACATGTTACTAGTAGTGTCCAAAGGGCAAAAACATCAATTCTTTACTTAGAGCTCTCACACATTGAGCGTGAGACTCACGTTCACAAATTCCATCTTATGTTCCATCTAACACTGAAACCATTATTTCTACCGCATTTAAAGTTTCTGATTTAAAATGCTGATTTTGAGATAACAAACTGCTGCTTTGGTTAAGTACCTATAAAATTATCCTCTTAAATATAATTTATTACTTGTTCCCTTTGTACTCGGTTCAAACACTTTTCAATTTTAGACATTCTCGCTTTCAATAAAGGGATGCACGTCTTAGCTGCTCACAATCTCCTGGGGAGCATGATAACTTCTAAATTAGAGAAAAGGTACACATGTCTTTTCCTACCTGAAAAATAGCGACAGTTCCGACAATGCAAGATAGAAAGAAAACAGGGAAAAAAGCTGCTAATGGTCTCTCTCTTGAACGTTCTATCTCAATTGACGACGACAAAACACCATCTCCTTTGAAATAAACTTTCAGAATTTGGCCATGTATGTTTAAGCCGTTCAATTCAAGTTTTTGATGTTTCATACAGACCTTAAATTTACTTAAAATAAAAGTTTGCAGAAGGTGAGCGCTAAGTGCCACGTGCCGCCATTTTATTTGACTCAGAATACCCATAATGCTATGCTAATGCACCAAACAAACATGGCGGAAAGCGGTCAAAATGTCGATAAACAAAGTGAAGGAAGTTCTGTGAGCGACACCATCAATAAACAGGGCTGGTTATCTAAACGGAGTCGTCTCTCCAAACGCTGGGATAAGCGGTGGTGCTGTCTAAGAAAAAATGAACTAACTTATGGCTTAACGGCAGAGGTAAGCTCGAGTTCAAAGTTTTGCTTCAACTTTTTAATCGACTTGAAAATGTAACACTGTCATGCTTGAGCTGAGAAGTATGATTGGTTGGGTGAGTACGTCGAATTAAAGAAAAAACTATTCTAGTTAAGTTGACTATGGTTCTGTGGTTTGGAATCAATGGAGAGTTGTTAGAATGAACGACTGATCTTAAGTCTGTTGTTCATGCGATCGTTTAATGCATGTCAACAAAAATTCTTTGGTTGATCATAGATCACAGTCCTCTGTACTCTAGGGCTCCTCTTGCAGGTCTTATGTGATTGTAACTTGATTAAGACTGAATTACAATTCAGATATTTTCACTTTTCATAAGTTATTTTCATTAAGGCTTGTCTTTAATTTTATCTTGAGAATATCTCATGTCTTTAGGTTTTTGAAGTTTTGTAACAAATTGAACAACTCGTGATTTACACCTGAGGTTCTCACTCAACTAAAATGGACTACATTTGTTCTGCAAAAGGAACAGAAAATATAATGAAAAAATTTTGAATTTCGCGGCCATTTGAAGATTGTTCCAGTTGAAGTATGTTTCTAAATGAGAATAACAATTTTTCTCCATGATTTACTCTTCGTCTTATTTCCCTTATTTACAAAGCACTTCCATCGTGCCTTTACTTGCCTGATCACTAGTAATCGCAAATGACTAAAACCTTGTACAAAGGGGGTAAATTTCTAAAGAAACAGTGATACTGCATCTTTGAGAGAGTAGAACAAGATAATATGGTTTTTTTTTCAACTGAGCTGATAAATGTAAATTGGCCACCGCTAAGAGTTTAAAAACTATAAACTCTTTAAGGTGGCCATTGACATTATCAACTCAGTTGATCAAACCGAGTTATCTTGTTAAAATCGTGTACCCCATGTTGGAAAAACTAAAGAGAATAACTTGCTTTATTACATCTCTCAACTAGTACGTGCACTATGACTGGTCAATTTAACAGGCTATGTTTAACTGTGGGCCCACTAAATTCCAAACTTTGTTTGACATGAAATCTTCCCCCTCCATTTGGAACCAGAGATGAAATAAATATCTTCTAACCTTGTTCTCTGGTTTGGTAATGTAAGTTGTGGAGCCTAGTTTTCTTTCTCTGCTTTGATTTGTGGCTTGCACTTCGTGCCTGGGCCATCTGTGAGTCCAGGCAGAAAGATATATTCTGTAACTTATAATATGGCCCTCAAACTTGGTGTCAAATATTCAATGAAAAATTTTCAAATACTTGTGAAAAAAATTTCATGGCTGGTATGACGCGGCGTTTCATCTCAGCCGAGAGACTCGTCAGATACTTTTTTAAAATTTTTAATGAACTTGTTGAGAATTGCACTCAAAGTCTCGTTCATGAAATCAAGATGTTAGCAGTCAGATCCTTCGTCACAGAAGGATTCCAACCACACAGTTAGGAGTTACCAATGTACAATGAAAAATTTTCAAATACTTGTAAAAAAAAAATTTGTGGTTGGTATAATGCAAGTGGGTTAAGTTAAAAGTGAGGTACATCTCTTTTACAAATGAATTTTAATTATTTTTTATCATCATAATAATAATTGTTATTATTTGTAGGATCAACACAAAGTAGTCTTATTGGAGGGATGTGAGATGTCAGATTGCGACATTGACAAAAAACAGTTTGCCTTTAGAATAAAACCCAGCGGGGGAAGACGTGTCTACTTCTTTTCTGCTGACAGTGAACAGGACCAGCAGGAATGGCTACAGGCAATATGCTTTGCTAAGGCATCAGGCAACATGGGCGATGGATCGCAAGCTTGTACAATACAATAACAGCTACAGTACTGTTACCAAACATCTTAGAAGCTTAATTTCAAGCTCAGAAAACTGTGAATGCCAGAAATATTTTTTGAATGTTTTGTTGTAAGGAAGAAATTAGGAAGGTGTAAGGTGCAAGAGCATGAGCAGGCCTCATTACAAGTGCTGTTAGTAGGACATGTGTTTCTCCACTCATGGGAAGTCATTCTAATTGCCACCCAATGTGCAAAAACTGCCTCTAAAGTACAACTAGCATTGAAAATTGAGTTGATGTACTTGATAGCTTGTTCTTAATTTTATTTGAGTGGTTGCACTACAAGTGACTATTCAATACAGGTGGAAGGCAATAGAAACAAGCGGTTGGGACTTAGTAAAGGGGAAAGGTGACCATTTAATACAGTGCCACTTAATACAAGTTAACTGTATTTTGGGTACTAGATTTCTTGCAGATCTCTAGCCAACTCACATAACTCAAGGCTTCGTACTCTCCCCGTGAGGGAGGAAACACTTGTGCAGAAACACTTATGAGGCTGTGCTCACAAGCTAGTGAGATACAAAAATGCGAGTTTTTTTGATGTGTGATTTGCTTTCCTTTCCTGATCTGCAGTGCAATTGGTTGTTATGTGATGTATTTTTTGTATGCAAGTTCCTGAAATATTCCAGGTGTTCACCATTTGCTGGGTTTTTTAAGAAAAAGAATATTATTTTACACCCAGCAGAAGAAAAAAAAGTCAAGTAAAACTTGATAGACGTTGTACTTTAATTTATAATGAACATATTACTAATGTTATTCTATATATTTTATCCATTAATCTTGTACAAAGAGCGAGCCAGTGGTTATGTATTGTAGGCTATACTTGCTTAAGCTAGTTTGGAGTTAATTTAACCCTTAAAACCCCCAAGAGTGACCAGCATCTAATTTCTCCTTACAATAATGCTGCTGAATCATTCAGTTAGATTATGAGAATAAAGTAAATGATCACCATTCTGAGAAGCTTTGATTGTCAAACAAATTCTCCCTGTCAGTACCAAAAGAAATGTTAAGAGAACAGTATGGAGAATATGGATTCTGACCTTAGAGTTTTGATAAATCAATCTTTGTAAAAAATGAACAAATTTTGGGATGAATTTTTCATGCCTTGGTTGATATACCCTGATTGAGTGAGATTTTTTTCCAAACCTGCAGGAAAAACTGACCTGTTCAGCCCTTCATTTGCTTCTGAAACCAGCAGTGATAAATCTTTGGGTAAAGGGAGAACTAAATTTGCTTTGCTCTACAATACTCTTCTACCTTGTGACAGGCTATGCGACACTTCTTACATTCCGATGCGTTCCATTAAAGTTTGTTTCATTTCAATGTTTGTAAAGCCGCCTATGTAGCAACGGTCAATAGCTGAAGAATTCAGAATAGAATCACATCGTTGAATAAAATCACGCATTCTGATTGGTTAACGAAGCAAGGTATTTGTGTGTGTAATCAAATGGCGACGAGTGAAATTAGGAAATAATTTCACTTGCGTTTTTTCAAAATTCTGAAAGGCGAGGGAATTTATCAGACTTTTGACAAAACGCAAGTAAAATTATTTCCTAATTTCCCAAGGAAACCATTTGATTACCTTTTAATATCGTGGGTGACAAATTACGTTCACAACCATTATCTTTAATCTTTAATAAGTATACTCCTGAGACAGCGAAAATAACTATACTAATTATACCGTAATTGTTTTTACTGCGGTTTATTCTATCGAAAACCGAGAACATAAAGAAGAATATAGTTTTCGTTTAAAGCATACATTATTGTTAAAGTTCGTAATTTTCTGAGTTTCTTCACCAAAAATACCTTTCGAATTCTTCGTTCCTGTTAATAATTTTCGGGCGCTTCTTTTAATTTCGTAACTTCTTCCAGGGTCACCGTCTTAAATCTCGACGCCATCTTGGCTCTGATCGAGATACAAGAGATGTTACCATGGCAATTTTACATGTGAAATTAAAAATTAACGCTGAAATTTCGCGCCAAAATTAAGGAGTAATTTGTCGCCTATGATATTAAGCATGGAATTGCGAGTTGAAACGAGGCTAAGTGATATTGTTTCGCATCTACGTACACCTAACAACTATAAGTAATGCTTTTTATTCAATTATGTGATTTTGAAACAGGTAGCATTGAAAATGGAAAAACTAACAAAGTGAAAGCTCAAGTCAAAGTATCAGCTTTGTAACTCGATCCGTGCCTATTAACTATGTATCTATGGTCCGTGGCTTCAGTTAATAATTTTTGTAGTGTGGTCGTGACTCAATTGGCGATGACGTCTTCTTTCCATCTGACAACAAACTTTCAAAGTGTGACGAATAATAGAATTTTTCGATTGAATTTTATGTCAGAGGCAGTAATTTGACAATCTTTGTAAAACGACGCAAATAAATCCTGATAAGAATTCACCAAAGGGGAAAAATTGAATTGTGCGCAATTGAACTGATGGCGCGTGCGCAATGCGCGCAAATTTTACCCATCAATCTGATCGTCTGTCATTGGTTAGGCGACGAAATATGCCTTTCATTTTTCCAAAGAAAAACATATTGTTTATCTTTTGATTGAGAAAAAATCCACAAAGCTAAATCTGAAACTTGAGATCATTTCTGTAGATGTTCGTAATACTTCCTGTGAGGTCAGGAGAGAATTTGCTGTTGAAGGGGTCTGGTGTAGACTTTTACAAGAGAGAGTTTATGTAGAAAGTCTCAGGTAATCTGCGGTTTTCTTATCTACATCACGTTTTCGTCTATTGGAATTTTTATCATTCATATTGAAAATTCTTCACTGCTTTAGTTTCGAAGTTTCCTTTCTCGAAAGTTCGTACCGAGAGCTACATAACTTGATTAGACTGATTTGCTGTATCAAATTTGATGCTACAACTGGATTTGAATGAGGTAATTGCATTGTTGAGTCCGCTCGATTTATCTTTTAATTTTTTGCGGTTTTCGATGGCAACCCCCCTTCTTCTCAAAGAACAAAAACTTTTCAGCCACAGACTCGGTGACAAGGTTCTTCTTTACTTAGTTTCCCAAAAGGTATATTCTCGTTACAAAATGCAGTGGTGAAAATCGTGAGATGAAGTGATCATGCAGTAGGTACTTTGTCAGTAGTACCAGTGCTCTTCCACACGGCCAAAAAGATACCGGAAGCCCAAATTCGCCACAATTTCGGACTTTTTTAGTATCGTAAAATAACAAAGAAGCACCAGAATCACCCACAAATCTTACCAGACACCTTCTTTATTGTTCTATTTTTATATGATTTGATGCTAACAAATAGGCGTCATAGGGACTTTAAAAGTCATTACTTTGTCCGACTAATATTCTACCACCCAAAGACTTCAAAAATCAGCGAAAAATGCGTCAAACTAAAGAATAAGGACTCTGCCAAAATTTCTTGCTTGGTTTATGACGAGACAGGAAACAAATAAACGCTGAGAGTATGCAAATCACTGCGAAGACTGCATGTACAAGAGAAAATTTAAATATCATCAAATTTTCTTGCAACCCTAAATTCAAAGATGCTTTTGTTTGTTGCACGTTTCCCTGTTTTTGAAAACAGGGAAACGTGTATTTTACACCAAAAAAAGAACAAACAAACATGCGGAAGACTTTGCATGAGGAAGACTTTGTTTGACAAAAGTTTTGGATGTTACAGTGATCTACTATTTTTTCGTGTGTCTAATTTGCTACACATTGCTGTTATCTAATGTATCACAGGGATTTAATAAACTGTGATGATTCAGATTGTGCAAAATAAAAGCTTATATGCAAGATAAAACTAAAAAAAAATACTATAAAAATGAGCATGTTAAGAAGACGCGTTGTGTGACGCACGCTCAGACATTGTTTGTTTGTAAGCTTTACCCCAGCAAGTGACGCGAATGATTTTCGCGAGTACGAGTGACAGTGCTTTCTCGAAGAGTTCAAGAAATTCGATTTTTGCAGAGTATTTTTGTGACCAATTTGGCATTACAGTATTACCTTTTTGGTGTTCTTTTTTGACAGATTTTTGTCGCGAAATTGTTTTGGAACCGCTCACAAACAGAGGGAGCTTGTAAAAAATCAAGATTTAAGTCAATATAGTCTCGTTGATACAAATGATAGACAGGTTAGTCAACTTACAGTGATCTGAAGGCTTAAGACAAAAGAAAGCGTTGTTTTTTTCAGCAAATAGTGAGCAGGATTTTACGTGCAATCTCTATATTATAACTCTATTTCACTCGCGCCATTGCATTAAGTTTGAGTTCGGTTTTTGCTGAGTGACGATTTCTCTTGCTGATTCTCAAAGGATGAAGTTCATTTTTATCTTCGTTGCTCTTGTCTGCATCGAACTTTACATCTGCGATGCAGGGGTGGACATCGGAAATCAAGTGAGACAACCTCAATCATTGAAAATAATGGATAAGTAATAAGCCACCATGGTATTGCCTTTGGTGTTTCTGCCCTCCAAAATTAAAGTTCCTCAATGGAACATCATTGAACTTTTCGCGCTTTGCTCGCACAGTAGTATTAGAATTACAACAGACACTGATGATTTTTAATTCATCTTTTTATTATTATTATTTTACAGAAAAGCTGTGCGATACCCGGAAACCCTATTAACATTAATGTTCACGGAGGGGATGGTACAAAGGTATAAAGAGGTTTGCAAATGACGCATCTCAAAAATTGTGAGCGTATTTTTTTGAGATGCACAAAGCAGTACGTATTCAGAGTATTTTAGATCCACAAGTCAATGCACTTTGTGTGTTGACTAATGTTGGTCCTATGTTAGCGTGGGAAAGCCAGGGGGAACATAGTTTCTTTCATAGCTTCCGTTTGATTCATACAGGCCGTTAAGGGTGAAAAAGGCGAAAAAGGGGACACTGGATTGAAAGGTGACAAGGGAAATGGTGGAGCGGCTTCTTGCAAATGTCCTTTGCAGGTAAAAGATATTTAAAGTTTTCTGACGTGTGTGACTGAAAATTAAGCAAAAGTTGTCTTGAGACAGTTTTCTTAAAATTCTTTATTCGGCCGGTTTCCTTTGATTACATTAAAATTCTTCTGTGACTTATTTAGTTCTCACTTTCTATTTAGTGATAGTTGTTTTTCCAAAATAGGATCCGCGAAAGCCGTCCGCTCACATCGAAGGAGCAAACAAAAGAGATGTAACTTACAAACATAATCAAGGTACATCTAAGTTTACAAGCTGCGTAGAAAAATGAATCAGGAGTTGATCTAACTTTTGTGAAGAGCCAGTTTGCATGAGGGTTAAAAAACTGTGTAAGTCACCTGAGATCTGCTTCTGGGTTTGTAAACTTAAAAATCAGTTGGTACATTAAATTTTTCGACAATAATCAAGTAGATGTAGCTTGATGAATTACGCAGAATTTTCAGCAATCATCCTATTGATCATAGTGCGCATGGTCAAATAATACCTAGGGGAGTTGAACTTCAGTTATCAGTAACCGTTGAACTATGCGAGGGTGGCATTCTTGGGACTGGTTTTCGGTTTTTATAAGTATCAAGGAAATTTCTTTTTGAAAATTTTACTCACAATTTTTTATGCGCTGTGCCTTGCAGTGATGAAGGACTGGACTCTTAGTGCTCCTTACAGTCATGTGGCAGGTGGTATGAAGTACCAAGATGGAAAACTTACAGTACCCATCGCTGGACGGTACTACATCTACGAACAGATCTATTACAGAGGCTACAGAGGCAAACCCGTTAGAATTTCTCTCCTGGTTAATAACAAAGTGGTCGCCATGGTACATCCTTCTGAAAACCAGCTGCGAAGTTCTGAGTTTACTTTGTCGACTGGAGGCGTCTTTTACCTAAAGGCTGGTGACGTCATTACCGTGGTACCTTCCAACAAAGCCGGGATTGCCTACATGTTATCCTCTCACAGCTTCTTTGGTGCATTTTTTATTTGAAAGGAGCCATGCATGGTTCGCGATGCTTGCCAATGTAGAATGTGACTCCACGGCTTCTTTTGATGATCGAATAAAAGTTGATTAGCAGGGAATAGTTTCTTGTTTGTTTTGCGGTTTCGGCTAAACTGTTTTGCCCATTTCCCACAGTTTTACATCAAGCCTTTTAGTTATGCAATTTTGATGAAATTTTAATTCAACAAATTTGCGATAGATTAAGACATCTGACAAAAACAGAGTACCGGGAGCAGAGGTGGAAATGTCAGAACAGCAAAATCTCAAAATGTGTTTTAATGAAAATTATTTCCCCTATTTACAAACTCAGCTAAGAAGTTAGGCAGTCTTCTGTCTCCCTAACCAAGTCTTGCGGACGAAATTCGGATAACAACACTTAATGGATTCAACGATTGAAACATGATGGGAAAGAACGCTGTAATGAAAAAATTATACATTAATTGAAATTATGTTATCTTGAAACGAGACTCCTTGTATAGGTTTCGATTCCCTTGTCCTCATTTTCCTCAAAGTCTGAGATCCACGGATGGTTTAATGCCTTGAAAGCAGTTACTCGTTTGTGAGGATAAACCACTAACAATCGTTTCACAAGATCTTTTGCGTCATCCGACACTCGGTCCCAGTAGCGCGCAGGCATGCTGTAACATCCTTCGACAATAAGTAACATCAATTTCCTATCATCGCTGTGCCAAAATGGCGGATAGCCCACGAGTAATAAAAACAGAATTACTCCGCATGCCCATATGTCAACCGCTGGACCGATAGGGTCCGCTAAGATTGTTTCCGGCGCAAGATATAGAGGCGTGCCTTCCGCTCTACATTTGATGACGTCGCAATCCACTGGAAGTCGCCGCGCTAGTCCAAAATCTGTAAGTTTTACGACGGGTTTACCTTCTCTCTTTTCGAGAAGGATATTATCGGCTTTGATGTCTCGATGAACAATCCTTTTCCGGTGAAGATACTTGAGGCTTTCAATAAGCTGAAAGATAAACATCGCAAAGAATGAGCGCGAACAAGATGTTTTTCGTCTTCTAACGATTGAATAGTTGTAACGCGACAGCTATCGAGCGAACGATCTGCCAAGCGTATTTAGAGGCCATATGTTTTAAAATAATGATGACTGATGTGAAAATTCCGTGAACTAAGAAATTTTGATTTTTGAAATGAGTAATTTTGATTTTTAATTGGAAACGAGTAGGGAGAGGCGTCTTTCCTATCATTTTTGTCAACAAGGCTTGATAAACGATTTTACTTGCGAAAAAAAGTAAAAAAAAAATCGGCAACCCGAATTCTCAGTTTAGCACTGAAAATGATTTTCTCTTCATTATCGTCACAAGCCTCATGTAAAACTTGGAACCTAAGATATGTAAATAAATCACTAAAAAGCCGGAGTAAAGGTCTTTTACGGAATTCCTCTTTCTGTCTCACCTGTTCCATTATTCCTCGAGTTTCTTCTTCAGTGAAAACAGTCTTATTTACAACTTCGTCCAAAATAGTTTTTCCATTCACGAATTCTAGCACCACCCAAATGTGCCCGCCGTTTTCATAATAGCGTTTGTATAATGAGACAATGTTGCGATGCTGTAAAGTCCTCCAAATTTCCACTTCGTTTTTGACTACTTCTCTGTCAAAATTAGCCCCTTCAGTTTGAAATTCTTTGACTGCAAAACATTCACCTGTCTTTCGCTCCATGCATTTGAACACTTTAGCAAAGGTTCCCTGCCCTATGAAGTCTTTCATTTCGAAATCCTGACCAAACTTCCGTAGCTCCAAGTTCGCCATGTTAGACTACCGGCTAACTGTTGTAAGAAACTGCTGAATTCTGTAAAACAAACAAGTCGATGAGCTTACCAGTGTTTTATTTACCCCTCAGCGAGGAAATAAGTCTTTTATAATAGAGATGGGTTGAATCTTATCGCTTCATTACAATCATCACGTCCTTAACAAGAGATAAATGCTAACAGGCCGAAGCTTCAGGGACATTTGGCCCTTCAATAGTAATTGTCGCCTCGGGTGTCCCTCAGCACATGATAAGTGAGTAGGTGTCGTCAATGTTGTTCTTATCTTGAACAATTCACGTTATCTAGAATGAATGGCCTTGGCTCCAATATTGCTCTTCTGTTTCGCAATTTTTCAGTTTAAGAACGTAATCACGGACATACGATTTTCTGAAAATAATTAGTCGAGCGCATTAAGATTTTATCTGTACGTGTGTAAATAAAGCTTGGAATTTTCAAACTGGCTTAGTGACCAAGTTATCGACGAAGCGGGTTGAGTTTATAGAGTCTGATGGTATCTATAAACTCGGTGCAAATCGTGATGGTAGAAAAATTGAACTGTTTTGTTATATTCTAAGAACTCCGCTTCATTTTGATTCGCAAGAAAAATAGGTAGTTGATAGCTATGAGTTTACTCGCCTAGCGCCCTTTTAACCGCGGCACAAGGAAGGAAACCATTCCAATATGATCATATAGAAAAGCAATACTTACTTAGATAAGAATCGATGTGATCGAGAAACCAGTTAGGTCTAAACCTTGGCCATGGTCATAAATACTGAAACTATACAAGGACATGGAACCGATCTTACCTCCGAGCGATGAAGAATTGTATATGAGATTCACGTGAGTTCCACTCTGCCTTTATACACAAACACGTTTTATCTCGAAGCACGTCTTTACAAAAGGAAGATGTTTACAATGCATCAACAACTTTGTCAAGTGACCGAGGAACTGAGTTATTTCATGACCTCCCAGAATTTACCGGCGAGCAAAATGCTTCGTTACTTTGTGGTAGCTGTGGGGCGCTCTTGCGGTCTCACGAATGCTCTGGCATAACTTATTCAATGATATGACATTTGTGGCCAGCTTTTAACCCTTGATAAGGAAACCGCTAAGTGCGTGACGCTGCCGCCTTGCGGAATGAGTTGTCGCATTACCAGACAATTAACAACAGCAAGACACGCCACAAACAGCCTCAAACGGAAAGCACACTTAAAATATTGCACGACTTGGTTAGAAGTCTGACATGCAATATTTCGCATTTTCACGTATATCAAAAATTTTGCCTCGTCGAGAGGGTAATATCGGTGTTTCTTGCAAATGTGATCAGGATTTATTCACGCATCACGAGTAACGAAGCGGAAACAAGGTATTCACTTAGCGCTGATAAAATCACGGATTATTTACTCTAGATTTTGTATAGTTCCGTCTTAATATAACAGCATTATATTAAGGGATTTAAATTTTTTGATTACAAACTGGATTTGGCTGGTCAAATAAATGTACCTATTTGGAATGTTGTTGCATTCTAGCGCTGGATTGTGCAAGAAGGGATCTGCCCTTTTCGTTTGTGACTGGAAGTAATTACGGAGGCGTTTATTTGATCTAAATTTAGAAGGCTTAGCCATTTAAGGGTTTGCCTTACAAAAAGCAGTGAACCGCAGAGAACAACAATATAAATCTAACTACGCTCGGGAAGTCACTGGAACTTTTGAGTTTAGCTCTACAACACGTAGTAAACATGAACCGAACCTCCTTACTTAACTATTAAGTTGCAAAGACTCCTTGTAGGTTTTCTGGAATTCATCACGAGAAATAATCAATTCTCAATTGTTCTTTGTAGCTAAATCGTCAAAGATGTCTAGTCGACCGATAAGTGTTATGACTAAGTCGTTATTATGGCCATTAAGGCTTTGTTTTTAATATACTTTTGATACACTTTGTAGTCCGTGCGAGGGACTGTAAACAAAAGAAATCCATAACACCCTTTAATGAACTTTTACAACACATTGCTCGGGGTAAAACATGGTTCGAAATGCGAAAATAAAAGAATCTGGACTGAATAATTCTGGATGATACCGCAGTACATTGTTCAGGTAATATAAATATAAAACAATAACGACCGATAAGTCGTTATTCTGGCCATTAAGGCTTTGTTTTTAATATACTTTTGATACACTTTGTAGTCCGTGTGAGGGACTGTAAACAAAAAAAATCCATAACACCCTTTAATGAACTTTTGCAACACATTGCTCGGGGTAAAACATGGTTCGAAATGCGAAAATAAAAGAATCTGAACTGAATAATTCTGGATGATACCGCAGTAAATTGTTCAGGTAATATAAATATAAAACAAAAAGAAAACACAAAGAGAAAGCGTGAAAAATTTCCAGAGTTAAACACCGACTCAATAAACGGAGAAACTTGATAAGAGATCATCTTTTTTTAGGTTGCAATGCAGCTCTATAAACAACGGCAAGACAAACTTGAAAAATTGGGAAAGAGGGAGATTAAATAAAGTTGGGCTATTTATTGTAATTTTCTCCTTCAGGGACACGTAAAACTTTGTTTAGTGGAAAGAAGACAAAGCAAGAAAAGGGAATAGACTTCTCGCAGTTTGCGCCATATTTGTGACATGCTGTTGAATTTGATGAAAATCGTGGCAAGGGCGTGTGCGTGATGCTACTACAGACGGGATATGTCTGTTTTCTTTGCTACGCTATCTTTCGTGACTGTTGAAAGAAATTCCAAATAAAGAGGAAAGATTATCCTCCAAAAATCACCTAAAAACCTCATAAGAATACTTAACGGAGGGGTTTAAGACGGATCTGGGGGTCCAAATGGCCAAATCCAATAACCTGTTTAGCTGACCTTTAAGTGATTCACTGGATATTTCAGTAGGAAATGTTTAAGAATACTGCAGAGGTCTGGTATATTCAAAGGTCATTCTTATTTTATTCGGCAATAGCTTTGGGTGGTTGAACTTGGCAATAGAAAGAATGAATGGCTTGTGATCTTTCTTGAAAAAGGGTCTGCCGGTTTGTTTATTTTTATCGTTGTAGAGTGGGTTGTCAATTGACAAACCAAAGAGACGAACACAGAAAGAACCTTATTCTTCACTTAATAATTGTGCTAAAAAAAAATTCTTATTATTCTTTGTGTAACCAGTTGTTCAAGAGTACAAACCAAAAATAAAAATAATTAAAAGGGAAAATATTGTATGTACATGCGACCTTAGCTGATCATCACAAATCCTCTCCATGGATACCTTCACCCGTGAGTCATGAGTTCAGCTCTCCCACTCACGCACAAATAAAATCACGTAAATTATGATGGGACATGCCACTCCTATTTGTTTGACGAGCAAAAGATGCAAGGTTCGGCTTTTGAGGTGACTTTGAAAGTCACGTCACTGTCTACTCATAGCGTTCTTATCTGAAATCTTTGAATAGAAACTTAATTGATTTTCATCAGATAACCGACCGCGCGCTGGTGTTATCAGTGTCGCATTGAAATTCACTTTTAAACGAAACAGTGTGAATTTTCATGATCGAAATTTAATCATTTTCAGGTAGATCAGAACAAAGCTAAATTCTCTCTTCCCCTCCCCCATCCTGTCTAAAAATGGAAAATCCGGCTCTAGAACGCCTCAGCAACTATTTATGCAATGTTGCACATAACGTAACAGTTTCCTCTGGAACTTGTTTGTTATTATTGACTAAGTGATTTGGTCCTTCATCACGTTTTGAGCCCCTAAACATTGGCCCTGAAATTTGCCTCGTTCACCATTTGCAATCGCTTCTTCAGTCCTCTTCTTCCTTAGTTATTGTTATGACATCTTGGTTTAAGTTATTATTGTCATTTCTAAATTTTTCATTTCAAGAACTGAACACCTTACAATCTTGAAGGGTTGAGAAACACTCGAAGTTGACTCGTGTTTCTGTTGCAAGTCATGTTCTACATTGTCAATTGTTCTAGTAATCATGTTATCACGCTAATCAAGCAAATTCTTCCAGGTGGATTGCAAATTTTAGAAATTGCAGTTAAGTATTTGATGATTTTTCATCGGGTAAATTGAAACTAGTGAACGTGTGGTTGGGAGTCCCTCAGCGTTAGAGGGCCAGAATGCTAACACCTTGACTTTGTGAACAGGACTTCGAGCACGATGCTCGAGTTAAGTATCAGATGAGTCTCTTGGTCGAAACGGTATGCCGCGTTGTACGAGCCACGAAGTATTGTTTTCACAATTGCAGAAAGAAGCCTGAAAAATTCAGATCTTGAAGAGGTTGGAACCTGTGCCTCCCGTCCAGATGGTAGTGGGGCGCCACTGCCAACTGAGCTACAAAGCCAGAGAAGCAAATTAGGAGGGTTCTTTTTTTTCGGAGAGGAATTAACTTCATAACGAGTTGTTGTCAAACTAAGCTGTGCTACGTCTAACAACCTCACAGAAAGCGCATTTGATACGCGGTAATCCAATGTTTGAAAGCTATTGTACTAAATTGAAACAATCCCGGCCTCGCAAGGGATTTCATAGCTGCGGTTTTCTTCGCGGTAAAATCTTGAATGGACAAGCAAATATTTTTCATTTCTTGGTTTAGGTAGTCTGCTAACAATAATATTTATCCACAGATGACACCGAGTTCAGACCACACAAGGCTTCAAATGTACCTTTTACATTCCCAACTCGACAAAATTAAACAAAATATACGGGTGACAAACCACAAATTCAGAAGTGGCAGAGAAAGATTGAGAAATATCCAGCGTATATCCACGTAATTTGATTGAGTGGTCAGTGTAATCTCACTCTCAAGTCATTGTGTTAAAACGCTAATCTAGTGTTGAACATAATGATCATGTTACACGTAAGCCTCTTGAGCGAGTGAACCTTATCAGCTTATTATAATAGTTGGTCTATTAATACCCCAAGAACACGATTTTATCGGATGATACGCCTCATTATTGGGGCAAAGGTTACGATGACAGAGTCGCCAGGCAGTCTGTGAGGCTTTGCATCGATCATTCTGTCTCCATCTTCATAAAACACTGACTGTTAAAAGAATAGCACATTTTCTTTGCAAAGTTTTTTCTTGCCTAATAGCGTGGTAGTAATGATCTGTTTGGAAAAGAGAAGAGAAAAGAGAGGTGGAAATGGAAGTGTTGTAGAACCAATCGTTACTTAGCGAAGCATCAAAGGGGGAACAAAGTACAGTCGGTTTGTGCATTTTTTTAGCACCCGACCTTTTGCTTCGCTGACTACTGACAAAACCAATCTTTGCCCCTGAAGCTAAGCGCAACTCTTTTAAAATATGAAAGGGGCGCTGTCAACAGTGATGTATGATTTAAACGCTACACACGCGAACTAAATTAACCGACTTGAAAGGCTGAAAGTATCAAAACGTTTAACATTTTCAACTTTTGAATCTTTTGCAACCAATGGATATGAATGTTTTTTTAGCCTTAGTCCGTGCAAATGACAGTAAATTATCGGAAGAATATATGAGAGCAATAGACCGCATAGTATAAATCAAATGAAGACAGGAGTGTTATCGACTTTGAAGGCGCCAGCATTGTCCACGCGCGAAACCAAACTTTAATCTAAACAAAAAGGTAAAGTGATACAGCAATGTGATGCGGTATTCAAACCATATTGGAAGTAAAAGGCCGCAATGAAATAAATTACAAACAACTGAAAGCGAAAGACAGGCACTGAAAAACAAAGGAACGACAGCGAAACTCTGTAAGATGGTCGGTGTGATTTATTATGCCGGAGTATCTTTACTGATGCATGCAAAAAATTATGACTGATGATAAAAAAATCACTCCTCTAGTAAAAAAAAAAAAAAAAGGGAACAATAAAAAGCTACATATGAGGACCTTCATTTTTCCATGGTTTCCGAAAAATGCCTCCATTAATCAGTTTTACAGGATTATCATTAAAATGACCATTAGCAAGTGGATAAAAGATTTGATGCGCTTAGATCAGTTATTCTTATCAAATTAAAAGCTAATAAACGAAGGAAGCTCGTATATGAAATTGAATTAAATCCCTTATTGCAATCGACCTGAGAAAATAAATACTATTTGTGTGGTTTTTCAGTCCCGCGTGTCTCATGATATCCCGGGGTCAGCGATTCAAAGCCCAGGCTGTTTGAGCTTTTAAACGTCATCCTGGAATGAACATCTTTACTATTGCATGCATTAGATTATGACTGAGGATAAAAAATCACTCTTCTAGTACAAAAAAAAAAAAGAAAAAAAAAAGAAAGAAAAGAAATTGAAGGTCGAAAAAAATAAAAGAGACAAAAAAAAGCTACATATGCGGACCCGCATTTTTCCAGGCTTTCCGAAAAATGTTTCCATATAATCTGTTTAATTTACAGGATCATCATTGAAGCGACCACTAGCTAGTGGATCAAAGATTTGATGCGCTTAGATCAGTTATTATAATGAAATTAGAAGCTAATAAAAGAGGGAAGCTCGTGTATGAAATTGAGTTAAATCCCTTATTGCATTCGACCTGGGAAAATGTATACTATTCGTGTCGTTTTTCAGTCCCGCGTGTCTTATGATATCCCGCGGGTATCGATCCGAAGCCCAGGCCATTTGAACTTTTAAACGCCATCTTGGAATGACTGACACTCATGGCCTCGATCTCATGCGGGTATCTATACACTTAGGTCTGGATGACATGGGAAGGTATATAGAAAAATTGCAACCATTTAATCGAACGACTTGAGTTACTTCAAATCAGAACTGTGAGCTACGCCACCATATTTGATGTTTGTATGTTTAATCATGCCCTAAATGTTATTGCACCGGGGAAAAATGACCCACTCCTACAGGCTAAATCGAACGCACTTCACTAATTCATGATTATCACTAGTTTAGGTAAATCTTCGCCAATTATCTTGTTTCCTATAAATGTGTTTTGCATTTGCAAATTCCTGTCATCCACTCCATTTCTTCCTATTCATTCCTTATTACTTGCTTAGTTTTTGCCCACGCTGAAAAAGTATTCTTTTTTATTTTTCTTGCACGACGAAGGAATGATAGGGGGTCTCAATGGGGTTAAGCGTGTGGCGTGAAACGTCCAAAAAATTAACAGTGTGTCGTAAAAAAGGGAAAAAATTAACCGTGTGTCGTGAAAAAGGGAAAAAATTAACCGTGTGTCGTGAAAAAGGGAAAAAATTAACCGTGTGTCGTGAAAAAGGGAAAAAATTAACCGTGTGTCGTGAATTATTTTTGTCCAGATAACCGTGTTGTTTGTAGCTTTTCCTAAGCTCTGAACAATTATTTAATGTATGTGGTCTTGTTGGTATTTTTTAATTTTTTTGCACCGAGAAATCGCGAAAATTTTAACCGCGTACCGTGTTTGCTACACCCCAATTGAGACCCTCATGATAGTTTTGCAGCTTTAAGGGGACATTTGCAAGAGGAACGGCTACTATTACTTCTTGGTTTTGTCACGTTTTGAGCACGAAGTAATTTACTTTATTTGACCACTTCTTCCTGCTCATTCAACTGTCCTCGTATTGAGAACACCACTATTACTTCAATGACCTCTGCTAAGCTTTCCTTCACGCTATGAGGCTTTCTTACAAAGTTTTTATAGAATTACTTCCAATCAGGGTTTGAGATTCTATTAAACTACATAAACATTCCAAAACTGTCTACAAAATGTTTTAAAACTGGATGTCTCTGAGTTCAACCTAAAAGTACATACTGGAAAAAGACGAGCAGTTCACAATTAACTCCCTTCTGGGGGAGGGTGAGGAGGGTGGGAGGATTAAGGTCGTGTCAACAAGTTTTACCTGATCCTCCCTAAGTGTGGAGGCGCGGTGGCCTCATGGTTAGTGCGCTCGACTCCGGATCGAGTGGTCCGGGTTCGAGCCTCGGCCGGGACATTGTGTTGTGTTCTTAGGCAAGACACTTTACTCTCACAGTGCCTCTCTTCACCCAGGTGTATAAATGGGTACCGGCAAATTTAATGCTGGGGGTAACCCTGCGATGGACTAGCATCCCATCCAGGGGGGAGTAGAAATACTCCTAGTCGCTTCATGCTACAGAAACCGGAGTTAAGCACCGGCCTAATGGGCCACTAGGCTCGTAAACAGACTATACTTACTTTTACTTTACTCCCTAAGTAGTGTTCTCAGGGAGACCCCTTCCCCCCATTAGCTATCAATTTTCCCCTTCCACCATTAGCTGTCTCTGGGGGACCCCTCCCCCCCATTATCTCTCTCAGGGGGACCCCTCCCCCCCATCAGCTGTCAATTTTCTATGGTTGATCCCTTATACTTTGTTAGAGAAGACTGTTCCCCCCCTAGTACCCCTGAAAACCATGTGATCCCCCGCCCCGAAAGTGTTTTCTTTTTTTCCGTGATACTCTCTTTAATATGGAACAATATATTTATAATCCACTTCTTATTCTTTTAGAAATGTTTTGAAGTTATATTTGACTGTCTGCCAGACTTTTATTTGTTTTACAGATTTGCATTAAGAAAAAGGCATGCAAGCTGTTTGAACCTTTGTCGGCACATTTAATCTTTGGTTTATAATTGTTTAAAGGACAAAAGAGGTCATTTTAACTTATTTGATTTGCCAGTGACTCCATGGGTACCCTTTGTTGACTTGGAAACGAAAATACGGGGCGTAGAATTAAGCTATTGTGATAAAGTTTTGTTTGAAAAATATTGACCAGTTTTAAGAAAAAAAAATTTTTAGAAAATGTAATCGGCAAATGGAGGGAAAAAAATGCATCGATACGTGAAACAGGGCTGAAAAACAGTAGCCACCGTCATTTGATCTGCAGAACTACGTTTTATTCAAGTTTCAGGAAAATGAAAAACATTTTGTGTTACTGTGCAATATCGCTTAACCGTGACAATTTGCCGCATTATTTTTAATTCCTGCTCAATAGAACTAACTTGAAAACCATGAGGTTGCTTTGAACAGCATCTTCAGTAATTTTCTATCAGCAATTGGTATATTTGGAATTCTTCAAGATATTTCGAACTGTTTTTCCATCGCATTTGGCAGTTTTATTTGGCGTTTTATTTGGCGTTTTATTGATAAGGGGAGCTCCTAGATAACCACCGTAACCATGGCGTTGAAAGAAAATTGTATCACGTTGGAGCTGGTAGAAATTAAAGTTGAGCGATTTTTGATTCACCGAGGTTCACCTGCATAACAACTTGGTCAGGATGATGGTGATATTTATTGCCTCGTCGAAAGTCTTAAGAAGTCAATACTACTCAAATGAGATGCAAAATTTTTTACAAGACATGATAGTTAAGGAATAAGGAGAGAACGTGGCGTTTGGACAGTGCCTGACGTCTTCCTTTTGTAGTTTTAGAGTAGCCGGAAAAGCTAAAGTTCAGTCGTTCAAGATTACTTTTGTTTACAGAGCTTCCGACAACTGGGACAGAATCTAAAAGGGCCGCTTTACAGCTTTAAATAGCCAAAGTAAAATACGAAGTACAACATCGACACGAAACATTCTTAGCTCTCAATCGATTCTCAAGAGACAGCAACCGCATCCAGAGAATCAAAGAAGTTGTCCTGGAATAAGTGTGGTTTCCAAAGCTGCTCCAACTTCAATGAAAGAACGTAAGTTACAGAAGTTTAAGAGCTTCTATTATTTAGTGAGCTTTAGTTAAGCCCGGCATTTTATATCACAACGTCATTGAAATAATGATGGCACGAAAAAACAATATGAAGTATTGGTAAAAAAACCACCCTTAGCTCGGTAAACTGGATGGAATTTGAAATGCATTAATGCGGCTGGACATAATTTTGAAAACTAATCGCCACTGTTTTTAGTAAGTGACGGAAGTGCCAAGGAAAGATGCATCTCTGGAAACTGAAATTTTGTTAGCGACAGAATTGTTTGATTTACTTGACCGTTCAGCTGAATATCAAAATGATGAATTGAATATTTCTCACCACATTTCCACTTCTACGGCTAAGATATATCGCTTTTAGGAATTGTTTTACGCGGATAATCTCTTTGGCCTCGATCGCATTTTTCGCGGATCGTTCGTGCACGTATGGGAATCTTAACCCTGACATCGGCCTTGGTTTGTGTGTTTAGTGGCTGTCGATAGCTAAATTTGGGTGTCTGATAATAGTCTTGTTGATGACTTTATTCAGTCACGGTGGGTATCCTTACCTCAAATGTAAAGTCTTAAAGTCACGAGCACCTCATTTACAATCAAGATGTAGTGTGCTACGTGACAATTATTTTCAACTCGCTGAAACGCAAATAAAACAGATGGTAGGTATAATCTATTATCACAAATTAACATTGCTTGATTAATTTGAGCCAAAGAATCCGGCATTGTTATCGTATCCGATGGAATCATTAGATTCATACAGGTCACCAGACGATAGCGATTGTTTTGAACGCCGTTTCCAGAAAAAGGGAAAGAATTTTCAACGAAGGCATGACCGTTTAGTTAGAACAGAGCTTAATTTTGAGACGATATTTTAAATGAAACAATTGAAAAACGAGCCTTTAAAATATCTCTTTTCCCGGTCTTCCCTTCACGTTCGATCAAAGCTGTCTGCTGTTTAGTTGTTTCTTGACATAATTTTGGGTTAATCGATTGTTTCTCATGCTGCAAGAGCTGAATATTCTCACGCGATAACTTGGACAATATACGTCATCGAAAAACCAGAAGTGACCCATATCCTGAAGCATTCGAAGGTGCAGTACACTTCGTGGTTCTCTGAATTTCTGCTAAAATTAACATCGCTCTAGAAGAAATAGCTTTCAGTTCAGAGCCTTATCATATTTTCTTCATTTTTCATCTTTTCTAAGAAAGTTTTGTTAACTCTTTGAATAATGACTATTTGAATTAATCAATTGTAACCTTTTTTCAGGTCACAATAATCAGTAACTCCTCAGTGATATTTTTCTCACCTACAGCTCATTCAGGGTCTTATATCAGAATATGGCGGTTTTACCACTCGGTTTTATGTTTCGCCTTACGTAAAACTGCTCTTAAAATGGTCCCTAGAAACAGCACTGACATTTTGGAAAGTTCTCTATTTTGGCCCCTCAGTTGTATCAAAGCGCACTTCGAACGAGTGTTGTAAAACCAAACTTAAAGCAATGACAGCTGCCAATCACAACAAAAGAAAATCTCTTAGGGAGCCAATGAGAACTCACTATAGGAAAACAATCAAATTGCTTGAAGCGCGGGAAAACTCGCCGTGACCAAGTCATGATTGGGATGTTTCTAAAACTAGTAACAAGGAACGGAAAACGTAGAACGGAAAATATGGAACGGGGAAATGGGAACAGGGAACGGGGAGCGGAGAACGGAGAACGGAGAACGAAAAACGGGGAACGGGGAGAGGAGAACTGGGAACGGAGAACGGGGAACGAAGAACGGGGAACGAAGAACGGGGAACGAGGAATGGGGAACGGGGAACGAGGAACGGAGAACGAGGAACGGAGAACGGGGAACGGGGAACGGGGAACGGGTGTACCGCGGTAACCCGCCTGAGAATTCAAAATGGCGGAGTAAAGGGAACTAAAAGGGTCTGGCAACTAGTTTTGAGCACGTGCTCTTCGAACGCGATCGTCGAGCAAAAAGCATGGACGATAAGTGTAGGTTTTATTGAAGGATTTTACTTTGAAATGCTGAGTGCCTCATAAATTTAGTTTCTGTCTGGCACACATTGCAGGTTGTATAGAAATTAAATCCTCGGAGAGGTGAGTATCTTACAATTCATGCACAACATTTGAACAATCAACTCAGAACTTCAAGCTCGCGGCATTTATTCTTACATTTATAGAGTAATTGTACTGCAAGGTTATGAAGTTTACCTCCAATATCTTCACCGTTACAACCAAGCAATATCAATAATGTTGTAAAGCAAACAGCTGAATGACTTTCACGTCCATTATGGGAATCACTTTCTCTTGAACTCGATCAATGCACTGTATATTATTGTAAGCATTAGCATGATTGTAAATTCATACACCTACATTCTTATGGACATAACTCATGTTTTCCTGTTAAATTAAATGTTATTAAAAGTTCTGTCATGTTTGATTTCTCTATTGTTTACATGGAAGTTGATGGGCGGATACAAAGATATGTTCCTGATGTTATTTTGCAGTAAGGTAAGTAGATATCTGCATGTATTAATTTTAATTAATAGGCTGGTTATTACGTTTCCTAGCTCATTTCTGTTTACCTAAGATATTACCTCCTTGCTACTTATCTGCAAAAAAAGCTGTTGGGCAATGCAAACAATCAACATACCCAAACTCTGCCAAAAGATGCTGATTTCAGGAAGGAAAAAACAAAGAGAGACGTCAGAACAAATGGTGGCAGCCATTGCAGAAACGTTGACTTCGAATTCTCGCCTCGGAATACTAGGCTTCTTGGCTTCGACTGGGCAATAGTTAAATAAAAGCGAGTCGTCTAATTTCGCTGCAAGCGGCGACCTAGTGATAAAATCAGTGTTTGTAAACATCGTTTACTGCGCCATTTTGAATTCTCAGGTGGGTTACCGCTGTTCACCCGTTCCCCATTCGCCGTTCCCCGTTCGCCGTTCCCCGTTTCCCGTTCCCCGTTCCTACTTTTAGTAACATCCGTCATGATTGGTATCAGTTTTGCATTTGATTGGTTGAGAGATGACAACTAATTCTGAGCCAATCACAGAGCAATATTTCTTTCAACACTCAGTTAGACTTTGCTCTGATAACGTGTTAAATAATTGGAAGGAATTTTGTGCTCAATTGATGAGCTGAATAAAACAGAGGAGCGTAAAGAGCTGAAAAAAAGGCGTAACCAGGACTATTAACAGCCACAAGAAAATCTCTGGTTGAACACAGCTGATGCCACTATCCACTTCACATGCCATTCAACAGCCCCGTCAAAGGATGTAGTCTAAATAAAAAACGCTCGAAACTCCATTTGTTTTTAAATAAAAAGTTTTACATTAGACTCGTTGAAATTTGTTCGTTGATCACTTTTCCACAGTTGAATCGGGGAAAGCCATTGTTCGCGGTAATTGTCCATTGTTAAGTTCCGCAATAACTAGTACCGATGTGACGTAATTATTAAAACTTTTCTGAGAATTTGTCTTTGTTTAAGCTCGACAAACATTCCTGTTTGAAAACAATTACGGCTGATCAGCCTTAAGCTTTGGACTGTCAACACTGTGATAAGCTTCAGCGATGGCATTTCATGGAGACTCCGTAAGCAATCTAGGTCACGCTGTTTCAGCTGAGTTCTGCCTTTCAATCACCTGCCCGTTATTCACCCGTCAGCTCTCTGTAGGTAATTCAAATTATTTTAAGTTGGTTCTTTGTCAGTCCGACCTCCTGTATGATGTTGACTTAACGCAAAGGGATCAATTTTAGCCATTGTGGAACGTATTTCTCATGGTTGGATCAGTATCTTGCGAATAGTAGTCATTCCCAAGTTCCTACACGTTAGCTTTATTTTTACTCACTTTTCGTCGACTAAACTAACTTCTGCGTCTGATGTCAAAATCTTGAACAGGCAATTTACTGCTTTTGGCCTTTATATATTCACGAATAGCTGCAGTCATAAAAGATAAATTAAACAAAAATGCATCACCTTCGCGTCTTATGCCAATTTATCTAAGCGCGTCATTTTGCCGCGATTTTTTCACAGTCGAAAGGAGCTCTTTTTTGATTCAGACATTGAGCCCATTTCATGACAGCGATCTACGTGAGCAAGGAATGTTGGGGGAGTCTACAGAAGACAGATTCTTAGTGAGTTGTGTTAGCTAATGGCTCCTCTACCTGATGTCAGTTTGTAATAACTATCAAAACAAAGGAATCGATACCGCAAATGCAAGTTGAGGGTTGTTACATCAGCGAATTTCACTTTTAATTTCTAAGAATTGCTCAGAAATGATTCAAATTTTGATCGAGAAAGTTTGCATATTCTACAACTTGCTTTTACGCATCTAAAATGCAATTTTAGAAATCACTCGATTGTGCTTTAAATTGCTTAGAGTCCACATAAAAACAGAATGGAACAAAACTCTCCGGAAATGAGATGAATTATCGTCAAAAAACCTCCATAAATTTACTGGAATGACACTTTATACGGCCTATGTAGCATAAAGATAATGCTAATTGATATATATGATTTGTCGAGGTAAAAAAAAAAAATGGGATCAACGAACGCTTTTCATTCCACTAATTTGTTCATGTTTTTCCCGTTGCCATGTTCCCACCAATAACGTAGCTCCATTTTCTGCCTTTAAAAGCACACTCAACCCACAATTCCTCTATTCGCTCCGACAAAGGGCTAACGCTCGAAACGTCAGCTTTTGTAATCGTTTCGGTGGCCAATTTACCATTTCAACTTTGTTGATATATCCAAATTAAAAAAAAAATGAAGGAGTCAGATATGAAATTTATTGGCTTGCATCAGCAATATCTTAACACAGCACTTTATATTCAACCTCAAGGTGCACTTTATCATAACTGACGTTTCAAACCGAGATACAAAAGCAAAGAACGCGATAACAGATTAAGACAATCATATTTATTGAAAACCGTGTTGAAATTGACATCTAATTGCGGAAAGTAAATCTTCTTTCTTCGGAGATATTGGGCTGTCTAATTTTGTGACTGCCGCACATCTGCACTGAGTTTTCCGAACTGAATTCAACGCGAAATTGGGATTCGTTTCATATGTAAGAAAAATAAAAAAACACAACTAGCGTTGATCTTTTAAGTACAACACGTCAAGTTGAAAAAACTCTATTTCAACCTCTATGTCTATTAATTTAAAATGATTTTTACTTTCAATGACTCCATGCTTCCGTAGAAGCAGTAGATTATCCATCATAAAATTCAATTTGAGCTGCTATAATTCTTTTCTATGATAGTCTTTAGAAATATCCTCATAGAAGTTTATTTAAAAAGAGAAGTCCCCTCAAAATCCTTTTAGAAGAAGTTCTTAATTTTCTAGTGCAGCCAACCTCACCAACGATCCCAATGTTTTCATAATAATCACATGTAGCACTGTTTTGAAGCACCATGAAAATTTAATTCATGTCATCATCGGCCGGCGAGGAAGAAATACCAGATGGTTTGTTTTCAGCCATAACTTTTAGCAGTACTTCTCTTTAACTTTTATTTAAACATTTGAATTTCTTCCTCGTAGTTTTAAGCTCTCTTTTACGCTTAGAATAGGCTTGAAAATTGATTTCATCGGTAGGCACTGGCTATATATGCCTGTAGAAAAACCGTTAAATTTTCAGAATCAAATCATGTGTGAATTTCACTTTGAATTGGCACTGAAACATCAGTATATTTGATTGTAATTGTGAGGGAGAACTGATCTGTCGGTGTTATTGATTGAAATAATCTTTTTTTCATTGCCGATAATTTTTGACGATTGATTTTACCTTCTAGTTACTAAGCATTCGCTGTTAGGTTAGTTCAAAAAGTGTGGAGTTATCCTGACATGAGCTGCAAACCGTACGGTTACAAATCATTTAGGCTTTTTTAATTTCAAGACCATCTTTTTCTATGGAGAATACCCGGACACTTTCCGAATACCCTCCTTTGAACTTCATAAAAAAAAAAGCCTACTCGTAAGATTATCAGTAGAAGTTCTCCAATTTTACACAGCAGCCTACGTCATGATCGGTCAGATATTGTGACACTCAAAATATGAATTCATATCACGAACGAACCGTACAAGATAAATAACCCGTGGTGTTTTTGCGGCTATGACTCCTAACACTACGTCAAATAATTATTTTTAGGAAATGATAATTTGTTTTGCTAGTTATTAATCGCTAAATAGTTCATTACTAATCGTCCCTCTGACAGGAACTAGCCTTAGAACCTTCGCACATAACAGGGATATTTTTTCACTTTGAATATACTTCACAATTCCATATCGACAAGACAAGGTAAGAGAGCTTAAAAGCTGTTTCATGTACAACGTATTTTGAAATACTCATTTTACAACCAGGAATAAAGATGACTATAGGTAAAGAGAGAAAACATACTCTTAAAACTGAATATAAATCCCGCAACAGCTTTGATTAAGAATCATGAAGCATATTTCCGAAGTGTGTCGTTTATTGAACCAATTTTTTTCAGTTGGCACAAAAATATGCAATGTTATTTCTTTTTCATTTTGCGCTTTAGTTTTATTTTATTTGGTTTGTATTGCCTGAATGATAATTTTGTAAATGGAAAGAAACTGTGATATTTGCGGATCTTGTGCGACAATATTTTTCAGTGCAGTTCGCTCATTAGTGAGCTTTGCGGTCCCTTTGTGTTCTTATCTTATACTGTACATCACTGTTTTTTTCCCCCTTTTCTTTTTGTCATCCATAAATGTGGTTGGTATAGGGGAAGCTTTTGAAGTTATTCTGAAAAAATTGTTCTGCTCTGAATAGACAGTAAAAACCGATCCTGCAACCTGTACTTCTGATATTTTAAACTAATTACCCTAGCATAGAAATGCCCTCAGATACTCTCAAAAGAAATAAATCAAGCGCTGTCTAGTATTTTATTGAGGTGAACATTATTTCCGAAATCCCCAGACTAATGGTATCCGGTCCCATTTCATATACTCCTTCAATTTAGTATATTAGTGGAGGATTACAAATTGTACCCTGCTTGTTACATCATTCGTAAACGCACTATCAGTTTTAAAAATGAATCCCCGGCTGCCAGGTCGAGATTCGTACTGATATTTGTAACATGCATGTACTTTATGAGTGTAAGATTCAAACGTGCGTGACTTCTCACGTAAGTGCGTTACTCTTGATTTAAAATTTAATCCTTGATCGCACGTGACTCGTTTGACTACACTTTTAAGTTCTCGTTTTTCGATGTATAACATATCAGTGTTGGCCTTTGTTAAGGCAAGTTCTCGTTCAAAATCATCTGTTCTTTCACTCTGCCCGTTTACGTCAATAGGAGGAAATATCTGCAAGTTGTTATTCCTTTTTTTCGTTTTCATTTTGTCTGTCAATTTTCTTAGATCCATTATAATTATATCCGTAATTTTTCCTTTTATTCAAACCATCATTTTCATCATCACCCTCTACATAATCAGATGCGTTCATTTTACTTGTTTGACTGTGAACGAGGAATAAATTTACTCTTTTAAAATCGTATCTTGGCTGGAGTCTAAACTAAGTACCAAGCGATCTTGTGCATTTGATACGGTTTATTGGTAATCTTTCAATCGAAGAAAAATATATTATCTCAGCTCTGAATTCTGAAACTTTTAAAACTTTCAAATATCAACCCAATTATGGTGTAATTTGTCCACCATAATTGCCATTGCGTTGCCGGAAATAAACCTCATTTAGTGCTATAAGAAAGCCAAAAACTTATTACTACACAAAAATCTATCATTATCCCTAGGCATTTCAATCATAGGCGGTAAATTTTTTTTTGCTGACGTCTAGGAAGCAGGTTTTTTTGTTGAGGGACAGACTTCCTTCCTGCGCAATCAAATCATGGGGAAATTTTTCCTTTTGAACTAACTGCAGGCGCTTTTGATCTCAAAGAAGCAAAATAAAATTTTAAGGAAGATCTCTGTGACCTCATTGTCCTAAAGAAGAAAAGAAAATGAAAAGACACTCCATTTTCAATACCATGCAAAAACTTAAGGAGTCCTTTTTCCTCTTGCCTAGAATAGAATAAATGGCCTTATTTGCGGAGGCCCCCAAATTTTAACTTACTTTTCGTCGGCTAAACTTTCTTCATTACATCCGCTTCTGATGCCAATATTATTTTTGCTAAATGATCATTTTTTTCTTCTATGTGTATTCCAGGATAGTTTTCAATACAAAGGATAAATCCAAACCAAAGCGCACACTCGCGCTTCTAAAGTACTCAACTGCATCGAACACCTTGTATTCCATCGATTTTATTTTTTTTTACAGTGAAAAATAGCTCCTTGATCCAGATAGGAAGTTGATTTCATAACAAGCGGCCAGACGCTAAAAAAGGATTTTGGGGAGTCAGTAGGGCATAGACTGTATTGTGTTAGCCAGTGGTTCCATTACCAGTCAGTGAAAACGAAGTACGTGTTAAAAATTGCAGTGGTAAGTCGAAGCTCATTGCAATCAGCGCATTTTACCTTTGCTTTCATAGAGAGAAAACAAGCGTGTTACTCTTTTCAACGGTGATCTATCTTCCCAGGTAATGTAGGAAGCCAGTGCGCAGATTCTTCTAAAAAACTTGCTTTATTCTTTTTAAAATGCAATTTTAGAGCTTACACATTCAGTCTACTTCAAGTCTTAAGGGAGGCAATGAAAACCTCGTAGAAATTGAGTGAAAACTTCAGCGAGATGAATAATCGTCGTATGGAGTGTCTAAAATTTCAACAATGAAATTTCAGAATGCACTTTTAGAGCGCACACATATGCGCTGAAAATTGCTTCAAACCCTAAGGGGGTATAAATCTCGTAATGCACTAAAACAGAGGTAAGATAAGTACTCGTCATATAGAACGTCAATAATTTCAACAATGAAATTTCAAAAAACAATTTTAGAGCTTACGCAATTGTGATGAAATAGGGTTCAAGTCCTTGGGGAGCGTAATTCTCGTAAAAATTAAGTGAAAACGGAAGCAAAATGAGTAATGTCAAATGGAGCGTCTACAATTTCAACGGTGAAATTTTATACCGTAGGTTGATTAATCGTTCCTGTAGCACAGTGTAAAACCATAATACCGAACGGGATACATGCCAAAACGTTGTCTTGGAAAAGGGGAAAAAAGGAAAAGTGAAATATTTGTCAGGTATTTATTACCTAGCAGTATCTAACTACCGTGGTATATATATATATTCAACATTCACTTTTAAGATGCACTTTGTAACGATTGATAGAAAAAGAATTAAAACAGATAAAAGCAATATTACAATCATACTAATTTACCTTTGTTGGCGGTAGATAGTTTTTCTTCTTGTTAGCTAATACCAGTCAGTCATTTATGCAAAAAACTATCTTGACTGCCAGCACCTGCAATGGCGATAGAAGAGTCGTTTAACTTTCCCCTTTGAATTCTTCATGGATTGAAATTTCACTCAATTTGGAGGAAGAAAAATTGGCGTCTTTCACTGTTTGGCATAGGTGATCTCTCAAATCAACAATATTTAAACTGTTTTGTTTCAATCTTTTAGCCCTAACTGAATGAATTCTTCCATGAAACTGCTTCAAACTTCATTCTTTAGTAATGCTAACACTGAGACACAAATCAAAAGTTTCTTCAAATTTATCCTACATTTCACAAAATTTAGGCTGCTGTACATGTAACTCCTTAGAACGCTCCTTCAGAGCACTTTTTGTCAGAAAACCGAGCAAAATGTTGCCAGCAGAAGTTGTTCATGCTAAAGTTTGCACAACAGCCAACGTTACCAGAGATCGCATGGCTGTCATCATTTTCATCCATGGCATTGTCTTGCAGCACAAAACAGTTTCATTCACGTCACGGCCAGTGAAAGATAAACAGATGATTGTCATGTTTTCCACTTAAGACTTTTCAAATTACGTCATACAATTTTCTAAATTACTTCCTTCTTTTTTACTGAGCTGTTAAAAGGCTTTTAAATTGTTTTCGTTTTAGTTATTTGGTACTATCTATGGTCGTGGTAAAAAGGGTTAAGTTTTACGCAGTGAATTCTATGTGAAACTGATTTCCATTCTGATCTGTCGACTGCTGTCTATCATTTGAAATCAAATTGCCTCTGAAAAGTTTTCACTGCCATATTTTTTACGGTCAAAGCACATTTGCTCACGTTTTATGTTGAATAATTCTGACACGAGATACAAGGTCACGTATCACGCCATTTTTCTAATTCCAACTCGCATTTTACATTCAATAATATTCGGAGCATTTTCCGTATGCTCTGTCAGTAAAAGATCTCGAAGTTTGCACAACATCAAACGTCATCAACCATCAAATGTTGTCATAACAGACATGCAGCATTTTAATTCATATCACGAACTGAACTGTAATTTAATTTTAACTTCCGATATTGCTCCATATCGCTATTGTAAGGAATGCCTTTTTAACTTAGCCATTCTTGAGATGTTAAATTGTTCGCTACCATAATTCAATTTCGATTTGTTTCACTTACAGGCACTAAGCTGTCGCAAGTTTCCACGCACGACACTATAGGGATACCTTCACCACTGAGACCAGGTAGGAGAGCCTCAAAAACGTTTCTCATACAAAATATTTTAGATTTTATCGAGACGAAATGATAACTCCTCGGGTAGAGGGAAAATCAACAGAATATATTAAAATGAATATGTATCTTGAAATATCAGTTAGAATTTTCATTTAGAATCATAAAGCATGTTTTATTTCAGGAACTTATAATTTAAAAGTACATAAAGCTACTGGTGCATAGATATGGAGTGGTACGTTTTTTGTGATTTAGTTGCTTCACGGGGTGTATTGAATGCTGATTAAATATTATTACTATTATTATTATATTATTATTATTATTATTATTATTATAAATGATGGAAACCGTGACTTTCGTGGATCTTGTCCGATGTATTTTTGCAAAGTATTTCATGCATTAACTTTCTAAATAAACCTCCTCCTGGTATAATATGATTTCATCTTCCATTGTGGTTCCCTGTTTCTCAACAGCCACGAACATAACTGGTTTAGGACGCTTTTGTAATTATTCTTAATAACTTGTTTTGCTATAAATGCATTTAGAATTTCCGAAACGCCCTAGTAATTACTTGAAACTGACTTCCCGGCGAAGATAATGCACTTATTGACTAACTGGAAGGGCGAGACGTGAAAGTATTAGGCTCGATGTGTATGACATACAGTCCAAACGCCGTGAGGTTTTTGAGTCATGGAATACGGCAAATATTTCCCATTTGACCCGACTTAACTTAGTCAACAAGCATTTTATCATAGAATTGCCACAGTTTCTTATTCCTCCTTTCTTTCCTTCGCTCGCATCGTCGTCGCGCTTGTAATGAATCAGGTATAGTTTCATTTATTGTCTAAGTATATGTATTTCCGAAAACCCCTCTCTAGTGATATTCGGTGTATTGAATGTATGATGTTAAATTCGTATAGATGTTTGTACAGAACCACGTTTCGAATGCTAAGCAGTCACGTCTATTTGATTTTTTTTATGTTACGAAAAAATGTACTTTCTTAGCTTTAAATCGCTTCAAAGGTCAATCTAATTCTGTGTTATTTTCTGCTCTATAATTGACAGATATATGTCGGCTATCGAGTTGAAATAAACTTCATCTAACGTTATTTAATAAGTAATTATGGTACAAAACTCTATCCTTGGGTATCTCATTTCGTTCGCTAAAATTTCTTTATCTTTTAATTGATGTAAAAACGAATCAGGAAATTTGACGAAGGACAGATTTCCTTCCTATGCGATGAAACCAAAGGCATATTTTCTATTTGAGCCTATGGCATTTGATCCAAGAACAAACGTTTCGATGAGGTTCTCTGTGACCTCTTTGTCTGAAAAAAAAAAAACACATTAACTCGTCCTCCACTTTCAAGAAACATCCTGGCAAAAAATTCCAATATTGGTGTTGCGCGAGTCCTCTTTATCTTGCCGTGAATAGAATATTTGATTTTAGTAAATGCAATTAAAGCAACTCCCCCATAATACCCTTTGTTCTCAAAATAAAAAAAAAAGATTCATATTTCATACTTTATTGCCTAAATTTCAATTACATTGTCAGTTAGAATCTATTTTTATTAAAGAGGATTTCGGAAATCGAAAAAGGGATAATGCCCTCATAAGCTATGGGATTGTTAAGCTAATACTAACAATGTAATTTGTTTCTATGGCAACCGGTGTTAAAAGAACTTGAAAGCGATACAAGCTCCACTTTTGTACTAGACATGCCTGTATTTCTTTCACTACAGAGCTTCTTTTGTTTTTAATATGTTCTGCTTGAACTACGTATTTCAAAACCGAGTTCTTCCTCATGTCCTAGATTTGTTCATTCAAGTTCGCTTTCAATTAAAACATCAAAATACAGCAACCTTACTTTTCGAATTCGTTCACAGTTGGCAAATCATCAAGAATATAATTTTCTTGCATACGACGAAATAAAAGTCATGTTGGCAGCTTTTGGATAGGCCTCCGAACATTTCAATAAAGGATTTCATCCATGAGTTTTGCAAGTAGAGATGTGATCCTTGAAATAGAGCAAGGAAAAAGGACAAAAAAGAAACCCATGTGATACTAGTTGGGTGCCACTACCAACCGAGCTACAATGACAAATGCGGAGAAACAGACAAAAAATTGTTTGTGGGTTATTCAATGGATGGCCTCAAATTTTCATTCGAATAGTGTATTTCACTTGAAATGTGGGTCCCCTCATGTAAGGCCTAAAGTTTACGTGCGATTACTATGAATCAAATGTTATTCGCTTTGGCAAAAACAGAGAACAATTTGCACATAAAGAGAAAGTGTGTGCACTTGAAATGCGTATTTTGTTTGTCAGTGTATTTGCAGTGTTAAAATTTCAGCCGTAAGGGATTAAAATATTGATTTACAACAATTTTTTTAAACTTTTTCTTTAAATCCCAAAGATCATCATTGATGTGCACGAGTGATGAATGAGTGTTTGGTTGCTCAAATGTTTGTGCAATGGAAGGACCGACTCAAAATGTCTAGATCTGGAATTTAAAAACATAAATGTTGTTATATCGTGCTCAAAAAACAATTCTTTTTAAGCATTCGCTCTTCTCGTTTACTTGAAACAAAGTCGACTCTAGGCCTTTATCGGCAAATTGAAACAAGGGGCACCCTCAGTTTCTCCAGAAAATCGCCACGAGCGGCTAAGTAAACGAATTGATTTAGAAATTAGGGCGAAAATATGAGCAGCTCTATCTAGCTTGTAAAACTATATTTGATTAATTTGCTATTTTTTTTTCGTTTGCTTTTTTGAAAATTGTAATTTTTAGAGAAAATAGATTTCCTAAAGCAAAGATTTGTCGACAGAAGAGCAATATGAGCAATGAACACAATTAGGACTTTTTTGTTCTTTCTGTCAATAGTAATCAACTTTTATGGCAGATTGTGGATCCCATGCTGTTCGTGAATTTGATATATCTGCATGGCCATTGGAAAAGCCGAAATATTCTCTATTATATTATGAAAGTGAATTTCAAAACTGCTCTTGCGAGAAAACAAAAATTCTTATAAAAATTTCTATACTTCATTTTAACAGCTATATTTCATTTGGCAACAGGTGAGTTGTTCTGCCACGAGACATCTTATTACGACATGAAAATCTGTGGTAAATTTTAACGGTGGAATTGTAATTTTTTTTTTTTAAATTTGACGACAAATTTGTTTATAATCGAATGAATAACATAATCCCTTGAAATGTTTGTCTCTAATATTTTACAACAAAGCGTATCGAAAACCCCCTACTAAAACTGGTAACTGGTCAACAAAGAACGGATAAATAGTGAATCTAAGATAAAAAAAAAATTTGAATGTGTCATGCTTATAATGGGTAAAATCGTTAGCAATTAAATGCCATTATTGTTAGACCATACTATAAACAGATATTTACCAGGCTCAGTTCAGTAGGCGGGATAAGGCGCAAAACTATTTTTGAAAAGGTCATTTAAGACAGACATTATATATGACATTATTCTTGATTTTAACGCGCTCATGCCAAAACAGCTGACATGAAGTCCGTCCAACGGAAATGTCAATTAGCATCGATGGTAAACATGTTTTTCGCAATATTTAACCTGCTCTTTCTGTTGACAGAGTCAGAACTCCGGCGAGAGCTGCAATACCGTAGCTGCGTTCAGCTGCTACTAAAATTTGGCAGCTCGAGATGCGAATCTCCGACGGTTTGGTGTTCCTACTCTGGATTTGTTCTCTTTGTTACAACGGAGAAGGAGTCCCTAGCGCTTCAATCATGCGAAGGGCAAGATGTTATGCAAACTGCTTCACGCGGGTAAGTCTATTTCCAAAAATACTTCACGTTGAAAAAACCGCACTAAGTACTCTCTTAAATTTTAAATGAGTTTTTCGATCTGGTCAAAACTCGACGGCCTAAAATTAACTCTACATAAGTCAGTTCTAATCTTAACGTTAACTTTAAATTTTTGTTTAACAAAAAATTGCAATGCTTATGCCTTTAAAACTATCGACTAATATCAAATTATTTCAGCGCCTTTAAGAAATTCACGTAACAGCAACAAAACGACATGAGTGATCAGAAAAATATTTAAAGAAAAAGTTGATTTGAAGCTACAAATCAAAATCAAACCTAGTTCTCGCTAGTCCAAGGCAAGGACGATTGAGTCTCCACCCGGAAAGTATAATTAATAAAGAATGCAAACTTTGCATATAGCACAGTTTATGACGTTTAATGAATAGCGCTGAAACGGAAAATTTATTTCTCTGGAAGATAATCTTATCAGTCATATCTTTAATCTTCGAACACTAAAAGTGATTTAGGTAAATGAATATTACATTTGTATTTTTTGCGGTGTAATGAAAGCGAAGTTTCCCTGAGGTCATTCTACTCTGTTTTCGAGATGAATCATTTCGAATTTTTCTCGTGCGAAAGCGTTTAAAAAAATTTCTCGTCTGTTAGTCAAGTCTCGTTATGTCGAAATGGATCAAACAGACTTGCCATGTGATGTCTGGTTTTGCATAAGTAAAGGCTACGAAATGTCTTCTGAAAGAGACTTTGGTTAATTCAATTTCTTGAAGAGTGACTCATAACGGTAATTCAGAGTTGTGATTGACATAGTTCACCTGAGGCGTGCACCAATTCTGCTAAAATCGACATACCGGATATACAGAGAAATAAACTTGGAGATTCTCACCGCCTATAATACCGTCTGGTATAGATTAAATTACGAATTTGTTTTTTGTTTGTGAAGGTTCAAAGAAAATTGAGCCCACACGGTCGTCGATACGCACAAACCCCTTTTTTCTGATATTTAAAATTCCTCTGAAAACTCTTGGTTTTTTTAAAATTTCATTTGACACTTTCAAAGTAATTACTTTCTTGAGATGCAAAATGACAAGTGTCTTTGTAGTTAATGAATATTCCCATGTTTGACGATAGTTACCTTAAAATTTTCCGCCTTATTTCACAAATAAAGTACATTTGGTTTGTGCAAGATGCTTTTCTTGTGTTTTCCTAAATAGAAGAGTGATGTTGGTCGTTGGTTTCCTTTAATTTCAGTCGACAAATGCTTGGCAAAAATACTCACCTAGTTTTTTCTTGTGTGTGAACTTTGCCAAAAATATATTTAAACCTAAAGAGCAGCAAAATGATTTAATTAAATCCAATAAGGACCAACTGAATAAAGCCATGCTTACAGGGTTTGACATGATAACAAAAGAGTCCCTTCGTTCAAGGTCAGCTTTTTTCTTTCATGTGTCGCTTCGTTTAAGTAAACGACAACAAAGAAAACGATTCAAAGCAATAGTTTTCCCAAAAATAAATTATCAATTTATTCTTTTCAGTTCTGACAGATGAGAACGACGAATAAAAATTGCAAATTTAATTTGCGTTTTACCAAAACATTTTGACTACAGTCTCCTTCAAATATTTGAAGTCAACCCAAAAAGAAAGTCGGTAAATAGAGGAGGTCGGCGGCCCCCCCTTAGTAGCCTTGGAAGACAACAAAAAGTAATGAATCTCTACCATAAGTTTAAGCTGAGGAAGAGGTTGAAGAAAACCCTTTTAGTTTTTTTTTTTTTTTTTAAAAATTTAAGTATTGTTTTAACTATGCGTAGTTTAATTAGTATATACGTCTTTGTAAGAAATTATTTCCTCGACAATAGGGTCTATAGCAACAACATCCTTTAGAATTGTAACTTATCATAGTCCCCTTTCCTTGCAACAAAAATTTATTATTGACATTTTGAGGAACACGCAAAAAAACAAACCATTCTAGACCTGTAGTTTTCATATTTCAGTTATATTTGTACATCAACAAAGGATCATTCGCTTTTACTCGTTTCAACCCTTTTGTATCTTGTGTACGGAGGACTGAGCAATGTTGAGTCGAGATCTGCGTCAAAGAGCTCTTCAGATAATAATTTAATATTTTTTATTTATATTGCGCAAAGTAACATGTGGATAGGATCAAATGCGCATCACAACACTTTTCGGAGGACTTTGACCGGACTACATCAGCAGTTTACAAACAATCGAAGGAAACTTATTTGAAGATGCCCCCTCCCCCCCAATTCCCAGTAAACAGGCCAGACCACATCACAGTAATCTCGTGAGTCTCTTTAACGTCCCCTGCCTAACCAAATTAACTAATTAATAGATGTAGGAGACGGTACCTACGGTTTATTCGTCCTTATCCGAGAAGACTAGAATGGCTATCCATTTCTTGATGTTGTAGAGAGGTAGCGCATTCTCCTCAGTTATTTTAAGACCAAGTTGGTCCGGCCGGGGCTCGAACCATCGACCTCGACCTCCCGCAAAACAGTCCAG